ACTCCTGTACCACGTTGCATTGTACCGTCTAAAGTATCTTTCGACGAACCGCCGTCTTCACCTGAATAGAACGCCCGGTACTTCTGACCGTATCTAGACTATAAGTTTCATCAAATACAGCCTTATTGATGACCCGTTCTATTCGGGTGAAGACAGCAGCTCAGTTGGGACATGCTCCCAACACTTTTGCGGTGGTGATTCAGATGGGAGCATGACCACCTTTACGATGTTTATTCCTCCTCCCACAGAGAGAGAGAGAGAGAGAGAGACAGAGAGAGAGATCATAAGGGTGGTCATGCTCCCAACAATTTTGCGGTGGTGATTGTGATGGGAGCATGACCACCTTTACGACATTCATTCCTCCCCGCAGAGAGAGAGAGAGAGAGAGAGAGAGAGAGAGAGAGAGAGAGAGAGATGTCGTAAAGGTGGTCATGCTCCCGATATTTTGACGGTGGCGAATGTCATGGGATCATGACCACCTTTACGACCACCTTTACGACGTCTATTCCTTTACAACATCCACATCTCGACAAACCAAGAAACTGCACCATTTTTCACCTAAACTCCAAGAAACGAATGGGCAATCCTCCGTTTGAACCTTTGTTAGCCTATTTCTTTTACGAGCACATAGCGCTACATTATTCAGCTGATGTTGAAGTTACGACCCCGACTATAGAATGGGCATGGAAAGCATTGATGCAAGGTGTATCTTTCATCGACGACACTGATTGCCAGCAACAATTGCGGCGTATTCGCCAGGAGGAATGTTGAGAGCATTCTTATGTGCATTGCAAACGATGAGGACTTTGAGTTCATGAAAGATACAATGACGAAGGCTTACGAACGTTTGTCGTCAAGAAAGCCTTGTGAGCAACGACACATAATGATGAAGGCTTTGACATAGTCATACCCCGGGGGATGCACAACACAGACAACAAGTGACATGTACGCTATTTTCAAGAAGTTTGCATCAAGTAGGAGGAAGATACCGATAAAATAATGAAGGACGCAGTGCAAAAAGTGAGTTAAAAATATGGACATGCAGAGACTCGTAGATTTTGCTAGTCGAAATAAAGAACAACTACGCAAATAAAGAAAAAGATAACACAAGGTGCAATATTAAACATAAGTCCACAAATTTATCATTAAATATATAATGTGAAAATATTGATTTTTTAAAAGAAAAGTAGGGTCGAGATAAAATCGCGCTGCTCAGATAAAATTTCACTGATGACAAATTTTGCATGTGCTATGTTACGTATCTCGTGCTTCATCACAACACCCACGAGTGATATAGAGCGACACAATGAAGTCACCAATAGACAAGCACACATTACGGACTCGTCGAGACTCAGATGTGACAAGGATATCGACGCAACGAACGCTCTGCGTTCGTGAAGAAGAGGTGTCACGACATCAGACGAATGTTGGTGCACATCTCGCACAGGAACGAAACACAATTCGAGATGTCACACAACATGCAAATTCTGAAGAAGTGAAGAGTGTACGAACAAAATTGATCGAAATCCACCGCGAAGGGAGCAAACGAAAATTACAGATGGAAGAAACCGAGAAGGAAGATAACGGCATTGACATCCGGCGCAGGGAGGAGTCTTCGAAGTATATTCCGAAGTCGAAGACGGTACGAAGGAAAACTGTGGGTGGTGCAACACCTCTTGCTCCAACTAAGCATGTCACACAAAACAAACGGGACCACAACAAGGGTGAAGCGGCTGATGTGGATAGTGCAGAAGTAGGAGGAAGCGGTGAGGATATCGAAGGAAGCATGCATTGTGGTCGCCAGACGGGCGAGAGCAGTGGAAACAGACACATTGAAGGTCGCGACATTCAGTACAGGGAGCGGCGTGTGGAACAACAAGGTCGACAAGCACCATCGACAGACTGCAAGGACCAGCAGCTGGAGCAAAACGAACCAAATACGGAAGAGGACGAATCAGAGGACGAGAACAACAGAGACAACGACGATTTTGGTGAACGTGAATCAAATGAAGATGAGGATGAGGATAATGAAGAGATTCGTGAAGACGATGATGAGAATGACGCACACTGCACGAACAAGAAAGCAACAGGTAAAACATTTTGTGAAATTTTGTGAAGTTGTTTGTAGCATTAAAAAAAGATGGAAGAAAAGAGAACAACATTCAAAATGATTCTCGTATATGCATTCTCGTTTACGATTTGTACGTTTTTAACGAACAACTAAAAGTCATCGTCATTATAAATGTATTTTCAATTTTTTCTTCTCTTTGTCTGCTCGTCCTCTGTGTGTGTGCAGTTATGTGAGGACGCGAAAAACGGGATGCGTAAGAGAAAAGCAAGGCCAACAACCGCATTAGTGACAACATCCACACGTTATATGCGCACTCCAAAATGGTGAAGCAATTGATGCGTTGCGTAGCGAAGGTCTTTTGTTTATCTCGAGCCAAGGATGCAGAGATGTACCTGTCAGTCGACACGTATGTGGATGCCTTCATGGGTCTCACCGAATCGTTGGACCCGGATACACGGTTCATCGTAGATCCGTCGATGAAGAGCACAACACCGACAACACTTCGCACACAGGGATCAAGGGAGTTGACGAACATCAGAGGAGAGATCGCTTACGATATCATTAGGGTTTTTGGAGTGCCGCAGGGCTGCCTTATCCATGCGGAACTGTGAGAGATTATTTTGAAAAATAGTGAGAGGAGATAAGGACGAAAATAGTAGAAGATTCATCATGAAGAGTAAGAGGCGAAGAGCCATGGCGCGCAACAGAGTTTAAGAATGCCGTGCGAGACGTTTTATACAGAGATTGGAATGAAATAGGTTGAAACGGTTGCACTCTTCAACAACTCGCATTCGCTCATATGGTGTTAGATTGTCACATCAGCAACAAAAGTCGGTCTGCACGCACGGCAACAGCAAGCAAGGAAATGCGAAGGATAGCAGAAGCCATCGTGACAACTTGCAAGACCGGTATCGGAAAAATGATTATAAATGTAATCTCTCTCGATCGAGATAAAACCGTTGTGCATAGTTCTAGAAATACTTGGGAACGACAATTTGCTGGCAGAAAGAATGCAAAAGATGAGGTCGTTCAAATCAAGAATGATCATAGATTTTTGGAAATTTTTGAAGATATTGACGAGGTGATTGCTGAGGAGAGGCCTTAGAAGGTTCATGACATCAACATTTTAGAATTTTCATATAGTACTTTGACTTGGTATACAACAAGGTGGTGGTGAAGATGTCGTGAGACTTGAATATGATATCGTGGATTTTTTTTTTATTTTTTTTTGTATGTGTGTGTGTGTGTGTGATAGATAGATAGATAGATAGATAGAGATAGAGATAGATAGATAGATAGATAGATAGATAGATAGAGAGATAGAGATAGATAGATAGATAGAGAGAGAGAGAGAGAGAGAGAGAGAGAGAGAGAGAGAGAGAGAAAGAGAAAGAGACCTTAAGACGTCGTTTGTGACATTAGTACTTTGTACCTTCTGTATAGTACTTGGACTTCGTGTACGGTGAGATAAATGTGAAAAGGTCGT